CATAACAGACAGTGGTGTCATTATTAGAAGAAAGTACCAAAGTGTGAAATCCTGCTCACTACAACCTTGATTCTAGCTTTTCAACTTGAAATTAAATTTCAACAAAGTTTCATTTTTCATAAAAACGAGTTTTTAATATCTCGGGATAAAAGATTAATCTGTAGAAAATGGATTTGCGCATGTGGAGCTCATCAGTTGCTGCTGTTAGAACTGAATCGCAGGTGTACAAAACGGTCAACACCTCCTCGGGTCGGGGGGCCGCACGGACATGAATTGAGACGTGTAAATGATACAGCACTATTTCATTCATAGGACATCTAGCTGCCAACAGGACAGGAACAAGGACAGTTGCCAGGTTGGTTGGGACACACATTACAGGAAATAAGACATGTTAACAGACATACCCATTTGTCCAAATCGACTGCCTGCTTGGCACAGAGCAAGAAGGGGAAGGGGAGGGGAGGGGGTGTCAGATAGCAAGTAAAAAAAATAAAAAATCATAATAAAATAAAAGCCAAAAATAAGTCCATCGATGGCGCTCGCATAGACTGAAGGACTGTGATGTACGATATGCTGCGTGGTGAACTTTGGCATTCATATTTAAAAGGTTGAATCTGCATTTAAATAAAAAAAAAAGTAGCAGGAAAAGGACAGGACAGGAGCATCGTATTTAACCCGATCTAAGGGTCCGGGGATATAACAAACACAAATACAGTTATAAAAATGGACACATAAAACCCCATGTTTGTATAATTATACCTGAGAATACATTAAAATACTAAAGACGCAATAATGTGCAGTTATTTTAAAGTTGAGGTAGTCAGCATCAGAAACGACATGGTTTCAAATAACTGCCTGATTTCTATTATTTAATCTTATTTAAGTTTTAAAGCAGTCAACTTTGCAATGAAGACAAAATAAGGAGATGAAGGAAACAACTCCAAAGTGTAGGTTAGATGTGCTAAACGTTATTTAATTCTGTTAGTTTTTGTGCTGTATGTTAATATGCTGGACATAAAGATAAAGTTCTCAGAGAATGACGACAGCAAAAATGCAAAATTATTGTGTTAATGTCAGTAGAAAGTGCTGAAGGAGTTAAAACGATGTGAACATTTTCTCCTCAGGCAAATCTTTCTGCAAACTCGGAGTGCACATTACAATCAGCACTCTGAGCTGAAATTGAAGCCTATTGTCCTGTGTGTGTGACAGTGAGATAAACGGGGGACAGAGGCAGTGAAATTGTACAGAAAAGAACAGTGTGTTTTTTTAGTTTTTTTCTATCAGTCAGAAAGAATGATTCTGCTTCTCTGCCATTTGCTATTCATAGGACGCGTTCATCTAAGCAGCTATGCGTGTCCATATGTTCCTGTGTATCCAGCGTGTACCTACCTCAGTCAAGTCCACGGTGTTGGCCAGCATCTCCTGCAGAGCTCGGACTGAGAGGGACTGCTCCAGAATGAAGGTGCATATGGCCAAGTCCGGAGGCACATTCTGTATCGACAGCACAGTGGAAAAGCAAAGTTAATAAAAAAAAAAAAAACGAGGTCACACACGGGACAAAGTAGAAAAAGGGAGGGAGGGTCGCGGCCGCTTACCTGAGCGTTGGACGTGGTTTCCAGGAAGCAGAGACGGTTGCCGAAGCCCTCGCAGGATAGACATAGTTTAATCTGCTGCTCCTTCAGGACGGAGGCAGTGCACTGCAGAACCACCTGGTCATCCTGCAGCCGCGACACAAACAAACAGTCAGGGACACGTTTATTCACTTTCAGTTCTGGCGCACATTATTATTTTATGTTGCTGTTATAAATTCAGCCATTCCCTGAAAATCTGTGTTGCTGGTTGTTCTTGCTAGGCCAGCTTTTTTTTTTTGTATTGTAGTTTTTTTAAGCAGTGTTTTTAAAAAAAAATGGTCTTGACTTGATGCTGGATGCAGGTTTTGTTATGTGGAATACTGACCTTTTATTGACTGAACTGAGGCGCTCAGCAAGAAGTACAAAAGAGGAAAACTTGCCTACAGCACATTTTTAAAAAAGGCACCTGCTGTACAGCACACAGTGACCAAGAGTGTCCAAAAATGTGTCGAGCATATTTTAAGAACGAGGCATTTTATGCTTTTTTTTACTACGAATCGCTCATCGTGATCCTAATGCAGCTAGCAAACTCTTGAAACTTGGTTTAATTATATAATCTATCACGGTGAATGTTAATTCTGCCTTAATTTCAAGGGGTGTCGAAGTTATGTTAATTGTAATGTGAAGGAGTGGCAACTTTTCAAATCAATTTTAACTTAATGTGCCATAACAACAACAATAAAGGCAGAGATAATAGCCACTAAGATGGATTACACAAGATTAACTGATTTTCTTATTGTGCCTAAATGAATAAAAGCCAATGTTTGCCTGCAAAAAAAGACAAAAAAAACTATTAAATCTATGACTAAGTGGACACAAGTTGTGGTCAAGGAGGCAAAACCACTTTAAAATGGCCGGCTGACAACGCTGCAAAGTGCTCCTCTCAGTGACAAGCGGCACACAATAGACGCACGCAACTCAATTGCACAAGCAGAATGCTAACAGTCAGTAATTTGTTGCTCCTCGTCAATGCCTGCACCCTCCAGAGACCGGTGTAAATACAGCGATAAACACCCCCTCCCATCGGAAACCCACACCTGACACTCTACATTCTCAGCTGTTCCTTCTCCTCAGTCATTATGTAAGTGGGTCCATCATTTAACCTGAGTAATATTCCTCTCCACAGTTCTGGACAGATTCCTGACTTTTCTCCCCTCTCGTCTAACAACTAATGAATCATCCTGTCTTCTCCTTCTTGACCCGCTCGCCCGCCTGGCCCCGGCGAACCTGCACCGGCAACGTGTCGTGACTTATTGTCAGGATAATAATGGGCTGGCACTTTGAAGCGAGGCCGAAGACAAGCGCAGGCAGGAGTTTGCATGTCAGTGTTTATGGCACATAGCAGGAAAATGGAAGGTGATGCAGATCCGTGACCTCATAACATCTACTCCTCTCTCATACCCAGAGGCCTCTAGTGTTTCTTTGGCTGGAGAGTGGCCTCCTCTTCCTTTGGCCGGGCTATCATCTATCTCTCCTCAGCCTAGAAACGTCTCCTCTGTCCTGTCCTCGTGTTCCCTGCTTTGCACTCAAGAAAGTGGAGCAATGTGTCCTCTCTGTTTCACTGCAGACATGAGCAACAGCACTCAATATACAACTCAAGTGTTGCTAAAACTGTAACGGGGAACATGCAAACATGACTTTCACACATAATCTGTAGAGAAGAGAGGTCGACGAGTAGTGAAAAATCATCCTCTTACAACAACAATCCCTAAACTACACACCACCAAGCTGAGATTTAGACCAACATGCGCTACAATGACACGGGTTTTGTTTATCGCAACTGACTGCACATCACAGCTGTTCTAAAACCAGATATCAGGTGAGCTGAAGAGGGATAAAATGGGTTACAGCGGTTGTGTTTTGAGTGCATAAAGACTCGGTCCCCATTAAGGAGATGGGGCTGAGCTAGTGGGTGTCTAAAAGCAGACTGAAGTAAGCCAGTGACTCATTGCGCAGAGACGAGATGTGCGATCGGATGACAGCCGTAGACGATATATGTCCCGACGTTATACAGTAGTGCTGCCCAGCGGCCTCCATCTATTTCAACAGCTACAGTCTCACATGGCCGACTTGCTCAGCTTCAATCGCTCTCCTTCTGTAGGCAAGATCAAAAAAAGAAGAGGACCTATTGGATGACTGCGAGAGCTGAAGCATCCAGGCACTAAACCTGCATGGAGAAATGCAGGCTTGGACAAGGATATTCTATTTCAGTGTCAGTTCTCAAAGTGTGGAACATGCAAAGTATTCTGTGCACAAAGAATATTATTATTATTATTACTGAAACAAATAAAATGTGGATTTTAGTAAACTGCAGAACAAACAGCAAATCCTTGTTGGGCTGTGAGAAAAGTATTGTTGATGTAAGGAAGACAAAAAAAAACAACTTTTCCCCTCCAAACCTGCAGAATTCATTCTCAAACGTATCCAGTATTTTCTAGATTCAACCAGACAAGTATGATTCAAAGCACCAGACAGAACCTCAATTACTGTCAAACTGGCTGGCTGAGAGGACAATCACATTAGCGTCTGCCAGCATGATTTTTTATTTTTTTCAAAAGGTATATGGTTAAACCTGTTATTCCAGCCTGAACGTCGGTTCACTCCGAGTTATAAAAGTACCCCGTTGAATGCATCAGCAGCGACACAGCAGTGTCCTTCCAAGAGTCACACTGCGTGAATCACTTCCAATCTGACCACGTGAAAAGCTGACTGAGACACCACACAAACCCCACGGCTTAACTCACACTTTTATTAATAGAAGCAGCTTTTAGGATTTGAAGGATGTGCACCTGACTGGTTATTGTAAACCAAACACAAGTCCTGATTATTTGTTAATCTCCCGTAGCTGATGGGACCGAGACAGATAGGAGCTACTGAGTGAAAGACGGGCTGTGATGGTTATTATCTACATGACCTGCTGAATCTATACCTGGACCGCACAGAGACGTACATGAAACAAATCTGATGCCTAAACAACATACGGGGTGTTGGGTTACAGACGAACCGTGTCAGGACTTGGCAGCTGAAGCATGTGGGCTATGTGGATGCTCGGGGTCAAAGGGGGAGGCAGAGACAATTGGCTGTAAAGTGGCAGACAGTTAGACAAACAAACACACAAGTGCGTGCAAATAGAGGCGTGTCACGCAGCAGAGATTTACAGCCAGAAGCACAGATAGCGCCTGAAAGCAGACACCTTTGTATGTTCAGCGATGGTGCAGACAGAGGCTAGCCAGGGATCCCCAGGCGAGCCGGCACGGTGCCCGAAACACACACAGGAAGCAAACAAACAAACAGATGCACAGCGGTGAGCGATATCTGCATCCTCCAGTCCTGCAAAACTCCCCTAAGCTGAGATATAGGACACGGTGCAACTCTACAACAAAGCTGATACAGTGAGCAGAGAGTGTGTGTGTGTGTGTGTGTGTGTGTGTGTGTGTGTGCAGTGACACTCCGGTATATAGAACGTCCTTAAATTCAGGGAGACAACTGGGGCAGCAGAACCTTGGACATACAGTCGGTCATGGAGTTTGTCTGGGATTTAACAGTTTGTATGTGGCGGGGGACATTTTCACACCAGATCCACACTGATGCATTAATGCAGCATCCAGCGACCTGCTGGGAAGTTTATCTTCTCCACTAGCAGGTAATGAGCCGTAATTTAGGACTTGTTGAAAACTAAAACTGCAAAAAATTGGAGCAAGTTGACTTCGAGTTATATTCATAAGAAGCTTTCATTTGCATGCATGTGCTGGTTTATTACACCATCCCGCCTCCTTATCAATAAAATATACATAAATCATTACATTTTTGATTTAAGTTTCTGATATATTTATATTTCTTTCTTGAGCTAAAGGACACATGAACATATACAGCACAATGTTCATGTCAGTCTCCAAAATGGCACAACAAGCTTAGATTTATTGCACTGATTAAAATGGTTTTTCACAACAGAATCCATAAAAATATAGACATCCACAGATAACCATTAGGTTTTGTATGTATATTTATATCTTTTCTCATCTCAAATGCATGTTTTATATGGACAACATACACAGCAAAGTATTTATAGTAGTTTTATCTAGATGATGTCTCATATTCAAAAAGACATTATTATATTACATCCAATGGTTTTTCACAGCCATTGTTATATTTCGTTTAATTGATTTTAAAAGTTAATATGATATATGCAGTGTTTATTTCAGCCTCCGTCTCAAACTGAGAAAACCTGCCCAGCAGTCAAATCATTCTTATCAAACATATACCATATCCGTTCTTTCTTTACAGCTCCTGCTTCCATGCTCTCATTAAACGGTGCTGACGCAGGCCACCCCAGGGCATTGATTATATTTCTGTAGACGTAAGAAGAGTGAGGGACAGCACGTGGGTGGAGGAGAGGAACGGTTCAATAAGGCCGAGGGCAGAGCGGTGATGGGGTTTCCCCTTTGAAAACTGGAAGACACCACGCAGGTGCACCATCAGCATCCTCCATCAAAGAGCGGCGTCTGAAGGGGCCTTGTGGCACTCTTAAACCACGCGCTCTGACTCATGTTTCCTATTCTACTCTATACTATAAAACACCTATATACAAAGAATAAATCAAAGAAATCTGTAACAACAACCTTTATTTTGCATCTTTCTTCCAAACAATTATGTCTTGAGTCATCAGTGTCTTCAATACCTACTTTTTTATTTAGATTGGATGCAGCACACTCAACATCTTTTACCATTTCACCTCTAAAATCACCAAAACCATCTCCTCACCACACCGTCAACAAACACAGAAGCACATGTCGCACTTTTTCTTGCAGGTAGCTGCAGCTGTCAGTCAATGAGACTGAGAATAAAACCCCAAAGCAGCGCCTGCTCTGACATTAATGAGGTGAACATACAGTATTGTGCAAAGAGTTTGGGAACTTTATTTTATCATCAATCAGCCGTGGACTGTCTGATTGGTGTCAGATTCCCTCTGCTGTGTATGACAACAACCGGATTCATAAAGAACCACCTTCAACAACAAGGACAACAGATGGCGTGGCCCCCACTGAGCCTTAATAGTCAGTTAATTTGCAGTTACATTAAGAAAGAAACCCAAGTGAGACCGTCTAGTCTACAATAGAGCTGTACACATCAAACTACCTGTTAAGTATCACAAAAACTGTGTGCAAGTGTGTCTTTCAATGAGGAATTAGTGTAGTTTGAAGGGGAAATTTGGTCGATTATTTCTCTGTTTGGTAACTTTTGGATCACGTTAATTTATTGTGACTAAAACTATGGTGTATTTTTATCTAAAAATGTAATCGAGAATCTCAGCTTGTGCAAAAACAGCTCAATTAAAATCACATGAAATCTTTTTATCCTTTCTTTTCCCTGCTGCTCAACAATGCACGGCCCTTTTTAGCGAGCTATATAATATCACGGTGGTGCTGTTCCTAATATGACACTAATACAGCACATTTTAAATCCTCGAAACCTTCACAAAGATGCAAGAACAGCCACACAGATATTTAGTCTGTTGTATCAAAGCTGAAGCTTGTTTCCCACTGCTTTGGCATCACAATACAACAAATATAAATGTTGTGTAAATGCCATGAAATGTGTTTCTGTCTCACAGCTCAAAGTGTTCATAAGAGATATCCTGCGTACAGCTTCAGGCTGTTGATTTTTTCGTTTCTGCAACGCTGGAGAAAAGCCCCTGCAGACTGACTGACAGCAGGACGCCGAACAACAAGGCAACTGTTATCTCACTCATACACGACTATAGGAGCAAACAACGCAGGCTGCACGCATTTAAAAAACAAATCACAGGCAAAGTGAGGAAACGCTTCAACCGACTGTTCCTCCCGAGCGTGTCTCTGCTTTGAGTTATGCGTCTAATGTGGTATAATGACTTGGTTTTGCAGATAAGTCCTGCAGTATAAAACTTGTTTGTGAGAGACAGAGCGGCTATTGTGCTGCACTGAATCACCGCTGATAAATCTTTCAGCACAAAAAAAAAAAAAACAGAGCAGAGTCGAGAACATTTAGAGTTTTATCTCTTTAATACGTGGCTTTGCTGCTGATTCTCTCGTCCTCTTTATCAACCAAACTCTCACTCCCACTTCCTTAACTCTTTGCAGCCATATATTCTAATTATTTAATTCCTCTTTTCTGTCCTTTCACTCCGGTGCTTCCAGCGCTCTGCTCTCTGGGCCTTCCCCCTCCACTCCACTCCTATTTTAGTTGGCTGCACCTGTCACTATCACATTCCCTCCTTCTGCTGACCAGCAGATACTTAGAGAGGTCTCACTTGAAGAAAGAGCCAACAGAGACTCTCTCGCTCGCTGGAGAGACGTTGGACACTAACTTCTGAAGAGCAGAAAGCAAAATCAACATATGCCTCCTCCAACAAAATACATTTGAGCAACTTAAGAAGGAAATTTAAAATAAAGGCAGCAATTAACCATTTAAAAGTCTCTTTTAGCGACACAACCAACAGGATAAAGTCCTAACATCAGCTGCACTATTTGCAAAATATTCACCTCCTTTGTTAGTGTCGCAAACAAATAAGGAAAAGAAAAATATCTTCCCAACAGCGTGGACACGTTTCCCCGTTTAAGAGTTTCCACTGACAGCTAAGCTACCAGCTACTCCAAGCCGAAGCCGCGATAATTCACAAATCAGATTCTAAGGAGCATTTCACTTCATTTTCACTTTATTGTATATAATGCTTTGTGTATATAGTACTTTGTTTAAATTATTTTTATTTCTAGTATTCTTATTTTTATTCTTATTTGCACTGCTGCTATTGTCGTGTTCTTCCACACAAGTTTTGTTGTACTTCTGCACAATGACAATAAAGTCTCTTTATCTTTATCTTTATTTAATTTTGATTTCATTAGCACATTGTGTGTTTTGACAGCTTACACACACACACGGGCGTCGTCTCCCCACGGCTCGAGTTAAACTGCTACAAACTACCAGACATCAAACATTAAACAGCCTTTGCCCTTTGAAAGACGATAAGTCTGGCAGACAGCAGCGATTCAAAGGGAAGCACCGTGATGAATAAATTATTTTAAGCTGGCCTGGATCCAAAATCTATTCTTCCAAAAAAAGAAAAGGGGAAAAAAAAAAAGCCTATTTGCCTTAAGAGTAGGCAAAGTACTTTCCTGACCCGCGCAGAGCAGATGTGTGATCCTAAAATTGAAAAAGAGTGAAGGCGGAGAGAGATTCGTTAAGCAAGACGAGCAGCATCCTATAATCACAATGAGAGTCTGTAATGAGAGTAAACAGGACTGGAAATGTAAAAATAACAATTAGGCTTTTTCAACCATCCGATAGCTTCCATTAACTTCTGTTTAATATTTATTTGTTCATATAGAATGAATGTAATTTATCACATTGGCCACCGAGCATCATAGAATGTGATTCATTAGTGAGTAATGAGGAAGAAACACATGAATATAGACTGGAGCTGCACAAACTGATTGATTAGACTCAATTAATTAACTACAAAGCAACTATTATGATTATAAATTAATCGGTTGAATGAAAAATAAGACTCTTAAATTTGAATATGTTCAAACTCATTCCCCCCCTCAGTGACAGGAAACTGAATATCTTTGGGTTGAGGAACTTTTAGAAGACATTTTTCACCATTTTCTGAGATTTTATAATTTAACTAATTTAGCAACTAATTTAAAAAAATCTAATCCAGTTTATTGTCATTCTGCTGTACATACAACAGTCGCACAAACAAGATGAGAGAGCGTTTCTCCGGGATCCAAAAACTAAAAGCGATTAAATAAAGAAGTGTTTGCATATCCGGATCAGCAGCTCGACTTTCTGACAGCTTGTGGAATGAAGCAATAAAGAAATAAAATAAATAAACATATAAAATCGAGACATACGACTGATTGAAGAATGAACAATGAAAACATTTGCAGCCCTACTGGAGGTCTGCTCGCTGATCACAAACGAATGAATGTAAAGCCTCCATGAATTTGCATTATAAATACATAAATACTCGCTAGTTGCAGAGTGCACACACACACTTTTTCCGTTTCATTTCGTATGTTTTTATTTGTATCTGATTAAAACTGGGCCTGGTTGTTTGGAGAAAGATTAAAAGATTAATTCTAAGTTTGGTCTTTCGCACCCAATTTAATGGAAGCTTGACATCGCAAGTGTCCATTTCACCTCACTTACCACCTTTGGATTGCGTGAACACAAACACACACACACACACAAGCACAGCACAACAAAACAGCGGTGTGATTTCGTAATACTTCCCCTCTCCCTGTCTGCCGGAGAGAGCAAAGCCGACCACCTGTTTATTGTGTAAACTGCTTTGACCCGAGCAAGCAGACGAACAGGTGCTGCATGAGCGTACATGAATGTGTGTGTGTTTGTTGCTGAGGATGTGTTCATCTCCCGGGCTCAGCACTTCTAAAGCCGTGTTTTGCTCTCACCCTCCCATAAACCGTCCGTCATGTGCAGTCATCACAGAATCTGCTGCGACTGTAGCTCAGTGAGTGTAAAAAAAAAAAAACATGGAGAGAAGACAGAAGACAGCTGGGATGAAAAATGAGGAGAAACTCGGTGTCTCTGAGCGACTAAACAGAAAAGCCATCAAATAAAATGTGTGTCATAGTTTTGAGTTTCCTCAGTCAGTGTCATCTCGACTGCAGAGATCAGCAGCCGGATCTCACAGGAGGAAAGAAAAAAAAAAAAAGAAAAGCAATACAGACATTATGATATTACACTTCCTCGGGGAAACATTATGTGCTGAAGAAAAAAGAAAGTACAGAGGGAGGAGGAAAGTGATGAAAAGTGGGCTTAACGTTCTTGGCAGAATTTAGTTAAGAAACCCTGCAGGAGCAGAGATATAGAGGGTAGCTGTCCATGTTTTTTGTTGGACCTGATGAGGTTTGACAGCATTTCATCTCATCTGAATTCAGCGTTGAATATTCGTTCATGTTATTAGATCTATTAAAGTTTAACATCACCAAATTGGGGCTGCATGGTGGTTAGCACTGTTGCCTCGCAGCAAGAAGGTCGCTGGTTCGTGTCCCGGTGGGGGCACCGGGATCTTTCTGCGTGGAGTCTCCATGTTCTCCCCGTGCAGCGTGGGTTCTCTCCGGGTTCTCCGGCTTCCTCCCACACAGTCCAAAAACATGTTGAGGTTAATTGGTGATTCTAAATTGTCCGTAGGTGTGAATGTGAGTGTGCTTGGTTGTCTGTCTCTAAGTGTAGCCCTACGATGGACTGGTGACCTGTCCAGGGTGTCTCCTGCTTTCGCCTTAAGTCGACTGGGGTAGACTCCAGTCCCCCACGACCCTCTTGAGGATATAGCGGTGTATAGATAATGGATGGATGGATCACCAAATTGATGAAGTACAGACACAAATGCTCCAGTTTTTTTTTTACCATCTAAAGAATGAGTGACTCTAGCATTTGCTTCATTGCTTTCTGGTATTTAAACAATGAGCTATATGTTAAAGAGTTTGGTAACAGAGCTTAGCAAATATGGATATTATATCACCTTGGAAGATTATTCAAAAGTCACTGATAGCAAAGTGGCTATAAATGATCAGCCAGGGATCTTTGTTGC